TTCAAGGCCAGGTTGGATGGGGCCCTGGGCAGCCTGGGCTGCTGTGAAATGGGGAGGTTGGTGGCCCTGCCTTGGTGGGGGGTTGGAGCTTCGTGATCCTTGAGCTCCCTTCCAACCCAGGCCATTCTGTGTGATTCTGTAGTGTCCAGTTTGCTATCCACCCGTACTCTCAGGTCCTTTATGGCAGGGCTGCACTTCTTTTCTTCCCCAGCTTGCACTGATGCTTGAGGTTGCTTTGACCCAGGTTCAGATCATGCAGTTGGCTTTGCTGAACCTCATGAGGTTCTCCCAGGCCCACTGCTCAAACCACAGACCAACCCAAGCTGGGAAAAACCCTCAAGAATCACCTAGTCCAAGCCCCAGCTCCACACAGCACCACTCAAACCTAAACCCTATAGCTCAGAGCAGCATCCCAATGCTCCCTGAGATCCTGCAGCTCAGGACTGTGCTCACTACCCTGGGGAGTCCATTTTATACCCACCACCCTCTTGGATAGAGCCTTTCCCAAACCCCCTCTCTGTCACAGCTCCATGCCGTTCCCTCAGGCCCTGTTGCTGTCACCAGAGAGCACAGAATCACACAGAATCACAGAATGGTTTGGGTTGGAAGGGACCTCAAGGATCACAAAGCTCCAACCCCCCCACCACAGGCAGGGCCACCAACCTCCACATTTCATAGCAGCCCAGGCTGCCCAGGGCCCCATCCAACCTGGCCTTGAACACCTCCAAGGAACGGGGCAATCTGTTAAACGAAGGCAGGACCGCGGACAGCTGTGGGTCTGTATGCCCCATTGCCGGCTCTCACCTGTGAGGTAGGCCGCGAGCTGCCGAGGCCCGCACCGCACGGCGTACCGGCTGCTGCCCGCCGCCTGTCCCGGCTTTGAGGCGGGGTGGAACACGGTACCGTCCGAAGTCTCACCCCACCACCTCAGGCGGACGAGGACGGCGGCGGAGGGCGCTTTGGAGGCCGTCCACACGATTCTGCCGACGGTGCAGCGGAGGACGCAGCGCGGAGGGCCCTCTACCAGAGGCGGCAGGCTGGTGGACGCAGGGATGTCACCGGGAGCTGCGGAACGGAGCGATGTCAGAGAACGGAGCGGAGCTACAGCGCTCTGCCAGCCTTCCCCCACCCCCAACCCCGCACCTCTACGCCGCCTGCTGACCCCCGGAGCTGGGGCCGGGGCCCGCGGCCTCCTCTGCTGCATGGTTTCACCTCAGCGCTTCCCTCAGGCCGCGCCGCTGCCCGGCAACGGCCGCTCCGGCGGGAGCATCTCCCGCCTTCACCCCACTTCCGGGACTACAACTCCCATCACGCACCGCTTTCTAATTGAATCCCCTAGAAACCCGGACTACGTTTCCCAGAAAGCTTCGGGGCGCCTTGCTTCCCGTGGTGCCGCGCGGCGGCGCTGTGTGTAGAGAGGCGCTTCCGGTGGGGCGGAGCGGAGCGGAGCGGAGCGGGGTTGGTGGCGGCCCGGGCATTCGGTGAGGGCCGGTGCGAAGCTTTGCGTCGTGTTCGTCGTTTTCGTTGTTATGTCGGCTCTGGAGAAGCAGCTGTACCTGGGTCGGCTTCCGACGAGGCCTCCTTTGCCCGGGGGTGGCGGTCAGTCCGGCTCGAAGATGCGCATGGGGTAAGTGAGGGAGGGGGGTGGTGGGAGTCTGAGGGGAGAGAGTGAGGCCTTCGTCATTAGGGAGGGTTGGGTGCTTGTGGGAAAGGGGGGAGGGAGGTTTCGGGGGGTTCTCCGTGCTGACTGCAGCTGAGAGGTGTTCTATGGCGTGGGGGGGGGGGGGTTATAGGGGGGTTGCAGGAGAGGGAGATTTTCTGGGGGGACTTTGTGCCTGGGGGAGGTGGGTGGGGGAAGGAGGAACGTGGCGGCTGGTGGGGATGGGGGTTGGGGTGTGAGGGCCTTTCTGTGTGGGGTGGCAGCCGTGGTGAGTGGTGTGGTGGGCCTCCGTGAATGGTGTAGAAAATAGAGAATCAGGGAACGGTTGGATTGTAAGAGCCCTCGTAGTCCCTCCCCCCCCAGCTCCAATCTCTCCATGGGCAGGGACATCTCCTACTGCCCAGTTGCCTGCAGCCCCATCTATGGCCTTGGGCGCTGCCAGGGTTGGGCACCCAGATCTCTGGGCAGCAATATCAGGGCTGCACCACCCACTGAGGAAAGGATTTCCTCCTTACGTCTAATCTAAATGTCCCCTTTGTTGGGTTAAAACCATTGTCCCATGCCTAGAATTCAGCTCTTTTCTCAGGAGAGAGTCACTAGGAAAGTTTCCTCAGACTTTTTTATCCCCATATCCAGTGAGCGTCAGGGATAAAGCAGCAGGGCAGGCAAGCTGAAACAACGGGGGAGATTTAGATTAGATATTTGGAGGAAATTCTTTACTCAGAGGGCAGCAAAGCCCTAACGCTGCTGTCTAGAACTGTGGGTGTCCCATCCCTGGAGGTACCCAAGGCAATGGATGGGGCTGTGGGCTGCCTAAGCCGATGAGGAGCACCCAGCCCACAGCAGGTCTTCGAGTTCTCTTCCATCCCAAGCTATTTTATGTTTCTGTGATTCAGTTAGAATAAGTGTCTTGGGACATCCCGTTGGTGGCACTCTTCTCTGAGTCCTTTAGTTTGAAGGGAGAGTCTGTGTGTTGTGATATGTATGTCATGGTGGTACCTCAAAGTCAGTGAAATCATGGCTGAGGGGGAAAAGTGCTTTGAAATGTTATTTGGATGTTGTTTATCGCAGAAGGTTATATGAAGCTGTAAAATGGTGAACTCTGCCAAGAGATTAAGGCTGTGCTTTGAGTGATGGCAGCATTTCATCTGGGATAGGCCAGTACTGTACAGCGCAGGGTAAAGGGATGTCAAACCTCTTAAACAAGAGTGAGAACATCTTTTGGAAGCATGAGAGAAGATGGACTGGAATCAAGCTGTGTGGATGGGAACTAACAAAGACTGACTGGATGAGGACAACTTCAGCAGAAGCTTTGTTCTTTAGTGAGGGGTCAGGTGGAGAAAGTGGGCTGCAAATAGGAGAGCATTGAAGTATACCAGTAACTTCATCACCAAAGGTGTGAGGGAGAAGCTTGTGCTCCTAGCAGGTGCCTGGCTATGGTAGAAGGGGTGCAGGGTGCTTTGTGGAGTGAAGGAAGCTGGTGTTAGTCACCAGAACGTGGGCTCAGGCTGCTGTCTGTCAGCCCCGTGCAAAAGGCAGGGGAGCATAGATTGGAGTAGAATAACAGAAACAGGAGCAGTTGATTAAACCTGGAAAAAAAATGCTTTTTAAGTGGTGTCTGAATTTCCGTACAGAGATCTGGGCTGTGACAAGACCACAGGCTGACCCTTTGAGGGATGCTGCCCTCTGTGTGAGAGCTTGGGAGGGCCAGATGTGTGCTGCACAGCTCCTGATGGCATCGAGTGCTCCATTTGGAGGTTAAAAATATCCTACAATTCCTACAGGAGATCTCCTTTGCCTTGATGCATGAAATCAGATAACTGAGAGAAATAATGGAAACGGCAGCTGTAAAAGACTGAGATAAAATGTTTGGGTGTTTATGGACGTGAAAGGCATCTAAAGGACAGGTAGTTCTCTCCTTTAAAACATAGTTTTAAAATGTTTCTTCTACACTGTGTTCTTAACAGTATATTTGAATGGATACAGTGCCGTTGATTTAGTTACAATCTGAACTAATTCTAACAAATCTCCATGAAATATGTTTTTTCCTTCTAGTGTGGATTAAGGAAAAGCTAAGCTCTGTATGTAAGTAATGGCATGGCCTTGAGGCTAATCAAAAAGGTGGCATTTAGGGATTAATTAGAAAGAAGCAGTCCTGAATGTTGTGTTGTAAAGCATGAGTTCACTCAGCTCTGTTGTGAGAGTCTTGGGATTACACAGGAGTGTGCAGAATGTTACATGTGGTACATATGAAACTAGATTTAATACTGGCTATTTAATTATGCCACTTAAAATGGGACTAACCAAGTTTCAATGTATTTCAGAGCAGTTTTGTGGACTGTAAACTTTGTCAGCAAGCTAATTCTTTCCATAAAGCAGTGCACACCTGATGGCACTGTAAACAAATCCCCTGTTTAATGAAGTCTTCATAGCTCGCTAATAAACATAAAGACTTCCAATGTTGGTGTTCAGGTCCAGGGGAAGGAAAATGAGTTTGCAGTTGGTGTTGCTGCTGGTGTTGGCTCCTGCCAGATGTTTCCTGGAGGCAGTTGTCCCCGTGGTAGTGATAAAAGGCAGGACTCCATTTCCTGCAGCATCAGGTGAGCTGCGTTCTGCTGGAATCAGTTGGGTGATGGAGGCAGTGCTGTCTGCTGGGGATTGGCTGCAAAGGGCTGCTGTGCTGTGGGATGCATCTCCCATGTCAGTGTTGTTGCTGGACATCCACTCATGATAATCTTGATTAGGAAAATAAGGAAATTAAAGGCTGCCCAAACTTAATGAGGTGCAGATCCAGCGCCTGTGATACTTCTTGCTTCTCTCATCCTTGATGGATAAAAAAATGCATTTCAATTCAGCATCTGCAAGGTTGATTCTAATTGATTTTATGATGGGTATCTGTGGGGTATTTCTCCAGTTGAGTAATGTTTGTGTTGGCAGAGTGCTTCTTGGTCACAATGCTGTAAGCTATGTAATGCCTCCCATCTTTCCAATCTTTGGAAGGTTTTTGAATGCTTCATGTCATAGAGGGAAGTGGCCGTGGAGGGATGTTGGTCTTCTGTTGTTTTATAACACTGTCAGTCTTTTCTTTTTTCCTTTCAAAATCTTTCAGAAGAGTCTGTTGTTGTGGGTGGGGATCAAAGCTTCACATGTCCTTCCCTCAGTGGCAGCTGGATGCAGTTAGAATCATAGAATCACCAAGGTTGGAAAAGACCTTCAAGATCATCCAGTCCAACCGTTCACCTATTCCCAGTAGCTCCCACTAAACCACGTCCCTCAACACAACATCCAGCCTTTCCTTGAACACCCCCAGGCTCGGTGCCTCCATCACCTCCCTGGGCATCCATTGCAGTGCCTGACCACCCTTTCTGAACAGTAATACTTCCTCATGTCCAGCCTGAATCTCCCCTGCCGTAGCTTGAAACCATTCCCCCTGCTCCTATCACTGATGACACGAGAGCAGAGGCCGACCCCCAGCTCACTGCAACCTCCCTTCAGGAAGTTATAGAGAGCAATGAGGTCTCCCCTGAGCTCCTCTTCTCCAGGCTGAACATTCCCAGCTCCTTCAGCCTCTCCTCATCAGCCCTGTGTTCCAGACCCCTCACCAGCTTTGTTGCCCTCCTTTGAACACGTTCCAGGCCCTCAATATCTTTCTTGCAGTGAGGGGCCCAAAACTGGACACAGCACTCGAGGTGCAGCCTCACCAGTGCTGAATACAGGGGAACAATCACCTCTCTGCTCCTGCTTGCAACACTGTCTCTGATGCAAGCCAGGATGCCATTGGCCTTCTTGGCCACCTGGGCACACTGTGGGCTCATGTTCAGCCGAGCATCAATCAATACCCCCAGGTCCATTTCCTCTACGCAGTATATACAGTTTATACACTGTCACAGTCACACTGTGGTCACGCAGCCCTGGTTGCTCTGTGGGCTCAGCGCTTTGTCTCCTGTCACCTTTTCTTCTCCCCTCCTGTTGATCTCATCCTACGTTATGGTTGGTTTTGGACAGCAGTGGCCAAAACTGGAAACTGATTGGACTCTTTCACACACCTGTGGACTGGAAGGATTATTTCACGTATAGGAATGAAGTTATCATCCACAAATGCACACCTCAGTGGATTGTTTCTTTGTTTTTAATGGCTCTACTCAGGTCGTTTTCATAGAATCATCAGAGAACGGCCTGGGTTGCAGAGGAGCACAGCGCTCATCCAGCTCCAAGCCCTGCTGTGTGCAGGTCGCCAACCAGCAGCCCAGGCTGCCCACAGCCACATCCAGCCTGGCCTTGAATGCCTGCAGGGATGGATGGGGCATCCACAGCCTCCTTGGGCAACCTGTGCCACTGCCTCACCACCCTCTGGCTGAAAAGAGGTTTAGCTACCAAAGGAGGATGTGATCAGCTATTCTTTGACAAGTGTGTGACTTTCAGCACTGGCAAATCTAGAAGGCTCTACTGAAGTGATCCTTTAAAAATCAAACTCTTATAGGGAACAAAAGTAATTAAAATTAGAGAAAGATTTGTTTGCTCTGCTATCATCTTTTATTTATAAATCTATTTTGTTTCTGGGCACTGATGAATTTCTTAACTTGAAAGCAGGGCCATTAATTAGAATGTATTTAAACTCAATATCCAGCAGTGCTGGCAAGCTGGTTGTTCTACCAATAAATGCTTTGCTTCTTGTGCACTGTTCCTCTCGTTGGAATGTTGGGTACATTTTGTTTTTTGTGTTAATTCTATCTTTTTCATCAGCCAGGCAGGCCGTGCTCATGTGGCTGCATGGGGTGCTTGAAAGAAGAGAGTGCAGTAAGTGAGACTGCAAGTAGGAAAAAAGACCTGAATGCAGCACTGAGGTTTCTCAGGTGTCAGCCATCCTTGGCATAAAGGCAAGTTGCAAGGGTAGGATGCTTCCTTCAAAGCATTGTTTTCAGGTATCAGCTTGGTGAGGAAACCTTTGTCACAAGTACAGAGGAATT